TGGATCATGACTTTATGCAATTTGGTACTTGAAACACATTTGGCACACTAAAACGTACTCCATGAGCAGAGAGCTCAACCTTTGGAATTCCTGACGGCTTCTATGTCCAGAGACTACATTATTCCGCGAAGACCACATGAGGGCACAGGAGCAAGCACAAATGAGAAGCGCCCTCGGGCAGAACAGAGCCAAAATGCTTCTGGGGGGGCCACTCCTTTGCGGTCTGCAAGATCACCCTGTGAGTTGTTTGTGATGAGTTTTCGTAGGATATTAGCTGAGTTGAATCTTACTTCCTAGCGGTGGAGCTGTTTGTCCCTGGCCAACACCTACAAGCACAAGAGGTAACCCGATGGAACACCGAGTTATCAACTGGAATCCCGTGGTCAATTGAATCTGCGGAAAAAAGTATTATAAATATCAGTTTCATACTCAACAACCTCCCCCAATTGATATCGTCACACCCCACGTTACCTGAAGAGGCCACTAGATCACTTTGGATGGATTTGGATCACACCTATCAGTTATGTGTTTCAGGTATGAGGTTTTTCTGAGCCAATGACATTACTCTTCTGACTCATGCTGATCTGTATGATTTCCTCCACAGAGGGAATTTTGAAGACAGCAGGGAATTTGTCTCTGATCACACCTGACATGGTCAACATGAACCAAGTCAATCAACCGCGGGCAAGTTCTGCATGGGCCGGCTCACACATACTTGCCCCCAATCTGGCAACCTTCTTTGCCCCTCCCAAAGTCGCATACACTTGGCTTTGTGTGGTGTTGGAGCATACTTGGGGAATACGGTGTTTGGCCAATGTGAAAAACAAGTGGGTTCAGCAAGCAAACAATGATAATATTATAGAGATGGCTAACTCCCTCCCTCACAGCCGCAACAAGACCCAACGTGACAGCTCGACCGGCAACAGAAAAGGTCTCTCTGCCGCCGGCAATAGCGGCTCACCTCCAGGCCCAAACAACCAGAGTCGCAGCAGCGTCCAACACATTGGCAATTCTGGCAGTGGCCGTAAGGCAAACAAGCCTCCTCCTCCGCAAGCTTGCCGGGCTTTGGATACTGGTATGTCAAAATCTCATCTTTTTTTGATTTCCTTTTCTTGTTCTTGAGTCTGATTCTTTATGATCGCACAGGCCCATCATTAGGCAGCAGCAACAGTCTCAGCGGTAGTATGCATGCCCCCAAAGGGCACGCGCAATTGGGCGTCCAGAGAAAACCTAGTATTGATAAGAACAGCGGTGGCAAGAGCATGCTCAACCCCAATGCTGGTGTTTTTCAACCTGGTGCATTGTCTGCTATCGTCAGTCGAGTGTCTTATCCTCAATTCCTGTCATAAATGTCTAAACCCCTCCCGACAAGAGGGTATTCATCCCAGCTTGTTGGGAGAAACCGCCCCCAACAAGAGGGTATTCATCCCAGCTCGTCGGGAGGAATCCCTCCTGGCGAGCTGGTATGTACACAGCCTTTTCGGGAGGACCCCTCCCGGCGAGCTGGATTGTGTTCCAGCTCTCCGGAGGGATTCCTCCCGGCGGTGTTGCCTCTCTTGGCACCGGGTATCCCAAGGGGATACCCAGGTTTGGGCGGAAAAACAGCCATCTGCAGCCGAATCCGCACCCACTGGAGGGTATCTGCCAGCGGATAGCGGATATCCGTGGCGGATTATCCGTGACCATCTCTACCATCTTTGAAGGCATGCCGACAAATGCTTTGTCAAACATGGTGGGGTCACCTTGCAGAGGCAAAGCCAACTCAGCTTTACTGGCCATTCAAAGGTTGTCTGTATTTTCTTGCAATATCAATCCCGCAATAAATTGGCCTGGATGTTCATCAAGCAAGAATACCCCTCCAGCATGGCCAAGCATGAGGGGTTCTGTCAGCTTGCTACTATGGCAGAGACAACCTGTCACAGCAAATAAGAATAATAAATCACATAAAAAATCTAAGTATAAATTAAAATTATTACATAAGTAAAAGAAACAATATTACTTATGTAAATAAGATAAAAAATATATGAATAACTTAAAAAGTATAAACAAAACCTTGAATGTTATTGCAGATTCTGAATCAGCATGCAATTTAACCTAGGGTACCTCAGCCAAAGGTACCCCAAATTCTAACTCCTTCATCCTGTAATACAAGCATGAATAATTAACAGGTACCCCCAGATCACGGGTACTGTGACACTTCTGCATAATGCATAATGCATATACTCCAAATCCAGTCTCAGAATTGGAGTATTGTGCACGGTTTAGAAGATAGAGCAGTGTGGAGTCCTGTCTCCAAGCCCATGTGCCACGTAGTCATGCTGCGCACCAGTATCCAAGGATTGGGCCACAAAAGCCCCAGAATCCCCATTGCACGTGGCAACAAAGCCCCCACACGTGTAATAAGAATGTGAACAAGCTAGAATATCCATGAAAATACTACAGTAACCATATTCCAGTGGGTAACACGTGTAGCAAGCCTCAGAAGACACCTCTGGAATATTCTGTGACCCATTTCCAAGGAACCTGCTCCACGTAACAGAGTAGCCCCTATCCACAGGTTCCCATGGGACATTCTTGGCTGTAATAATTTCGTGTATGACCCCTTGGAGCTTCTGGAATATTATCCCCAAGGTTCCAGCCCTGGTTACATCACCATGTGGGCCAAAATGGGCCCAAAAGCGCCCCCAAGTCCTACTAAGCTCCCCTGAGCAACCCCTGAGGCCTTCCACAGGTATTTAAAGGGCCTTCTGACCGCCCAAATAATGATCCCCCAGCTTTACAATACCTTATATATATTTACTTACCATTTACAAGTCCCCTACACTTGTAATTAGCCTAGTTACTACTATAATTGCTGTTATTAAAGCCTCAAGAACCCCTCAAGAAACTCCCCAGTTTATCACCCAGCACCCAAAATCAACCCTTTTCTGAGCGCTCCCAACTGTCCAGCTTCTACTAAGAAAATCCTCAAGACCCCTTTTGGGATTATTACTAGTGAGTATTAACTCTTTTCTTGAAGATTTTTCCCCTAAAAAAATTATCTCCTGGGATTTAAACCACACCTGCTACAGGCCCCAGTGTATCAGGTACCTAAATCCTCTGCTTTTTGCACGATACCTTAGAGGGATTAAACCACCCCTGATTTATCAGGCCCCTCTGGTTTAATTTATATTAATTTTATTAATATAAATTGGCCACTTTTTGGATTTAATCCATAAATTCCACGTAATTCTTTTGAATTACCTGTACCAGTTCTATCCCAAAGTTTTTGCCATAAAAACTCTTACTTTTTGCACCTTGTGTAGCTAGAGGACACGTGTCTTGGCATCACATAGGCTGACAGGTTCATTGACTTCATACAAACAGTCCAACCACAATTCACCATACCCGGATGGATGACCTTGCAAAATGATTCCGTAAAGCTGTATGGCAAACTTAAGCTAATTGAAATGGCGAAGAAGGCCCAGGTCCACCATATCAGTCTAATAACCGACTTGTGGACATCCTCCGACCTTACTGGCTATATGGTAATCACGGTGCATTACATCACCAATGAATGGAATTTAACCAAGAAAATCATCAGTTTCCACCCGCTTTTATCTCCTCACACCGGCCAAGTCATTGCTGACCGTCTCAGTCAGGTCATGATTGAATGGAAAGCCCTCAACAAACTGGCCTCCATCACCCTTGACAATGCCAGCTCAAACAACTTGGCAGTGGCTCGACTTCAGCGTTTCATATCCGATCAAAGCTCAGTCCCCAGCCCTGCATCCTCCAACTACTTTCACATTTGATGTTTGGCCCATGTGATCAATCTTGTAGTGAAGGATGGACTTAAAACTCAGTGGTCCAATTGAACGGCTTTGAGAGAGTGTGAAGTACATTCATGGCTCAGCATTCAGGATGGAAGCATTCAAACAAGCCCTTGTATCTTGTAACATGGATCCAAAGAAAAAACATCCATCAAAGGATGTTCCAACCCATTGGAATGCAACCTACGTGATGATCGAATCATCAATCCCCTTGAAGTTAGCTGTTCTACAGCTTGATATGGATGACAAGAAGTTTGAGTTGTGCCCTTTTTTGGTCGACTGGGATGAGTTAGCTGTGATGAAGGACTTTTTGGAACCCTTTTACAAAGGTATGTTTATTGTCCAGTGTTCTTATCTTTCCCTCATCATCTACTTCCAATCAACATTCACACTGACACAGTTGACTCTTACTTTACACAGCCACTTTAGAGCTCAGTGGTACTCAATATCCAACGATGAATCGTACCTACCGCGCAATGAGGCAGATTGAAAAGCAGCTTGCTGGGTCTGCCCCACTCAACAACACTCACCTTGCTGAAATAATGAAGCCCATGACCAAAACGTTCATGAAGTACTGGAAACCAATGCAAGAGATAGCAGCCATTGGTCTAGTTCTTGATCCCCGCTACCAGATCCAATATTTACACTTCAGCCTTGAAGAGGACCATGCTTCTGATGAAATCCATGATTTATTGGGTAAGGTTTGTGCAGCCATCTTAAATCTCTGGGCTATCTTTGTTCCAGCTCCAGCTGCCTCCAACACCTCAACCACAACCCCATCCAGCACTTCAGCAAATGTGGATAACGATACATCCTGATTCCTACTGTACATGAGTGGATTGACCAATGGTGTTGCAAGCAATGCTCCGGCGGCAGAACTTGACTTATACCTTGAGGAAGGGAACATCGGAATCACACCAGACCAGAACTTTGACACGCTTGGTTGGTGGAAGATGAATGAATCTCGCTTTCCCGCTCTCTCAAAGCTTGCAAAGGTCATCTTGATGACCCCGATTACTTCTGTTGCCTCTGAAGCCACCTTCTCTACTGGTGGTCGAGTTCTGGATGACTACCGCTCTTGTCTCAATGAAAGTACGGTTGAGGCCCTCTTATGTGCTCAAGATTGGCTCAAGTGAAACGATCTCACTACCTTCACCAATTTCTCATCTCTACTTTTTGCATATGTTATGACTGCCTCTGAATCTCATGCCTGTTGCTAGCCTGCCTTATGAAGTCGTAACAAATGATCTATTGGTCCTCTGATATACATAGTAAGAACGAACCACATATCTGGCGGAAAACTTTGCGCCAAGAACATGAAAAAACACTCATACCACCTGGCCTGCTGGCCGCCTCCAGGCTGCCCACAGGTAGCCTGCAGAGCCTAATAGACCAGAGGCCCGGTGTGGTAATTATTCCTGTGTTTCTACGCCAAAAAATATAAAAATTTATTATTATCTCTCTAAATATTAAAGATATGGTAAAAATAACTTCAAAAATGGATTCCTCAGGTAAAATAAGCCCTAGTCACTCACTACAACTATCCTCTTATCTCTACTAGTTCAGAAGTTACACTTATCTCAAGCTGTCACAGGAGCTTTTCTTTATTATTATGCTGACCACGTCTCATTTTGAATACTGGATGCATATTTCATATTGAATTCCTATATTTCATATTGAATTCCTTTACTGGCTTATATTTCATATTGAATTCCTTTGTAGGTGCACATGCATTCCTTTGTAGTAGGACCTTGTAGGCTAGCCAAAATCCCTCAAGGCAGTGCTCTCACCAGCCAAATTCCCTCACCTGCATGTATTAGACTAGCTAAATTCCCTCATTGGATTTTCAGGCCAGCTAAATTCCCTCACCTGCATGTACCCTGGAGCTAAAATCCCTCACTTTTGTCTATATAAGGAGGCCTCTGCCTGCCAGTTGTACCTTTCATCATCCCACCAGTGGACCAGATCATCTCAACCACCCTTACAATCACCACCCATTATATTACAAGTCACAGTCATATAACCACCCTTATTTTATCGCAATATATTCATAACACTTTCACATCATCATCATCATACCAAGTGGCCAGTCCCCTGTTCCATTCCTGGTTGAAGCATAGTGCTCCCAGCGCCCAGCGCCTTGGTTCCAAATCACCTCTTTTTAACTTTATATACCCTCAACCTCAAGGACCTGCGTTCAAGCCTCAACCTCGACAACAATCCTTGACACCTCTATCAACAACTTCATCAACAACAACATCATCATCAACAATCACCATCAACACCTTTAACCGTTATACGAATCATTCGACAGCTTCATCTCGAACTATCCTCTATCACGATATATAAACTGCCAAGCTGAGCTTGGTGGTCTTGTTGTTCTGATAGCATAGAAGGGCAGAGCTTGCAACTCCATCATCCCCTTCTCCATTCAGCAAAAGGGTTTCACAACCACTTTTGAGTCTTACAAGGGAGTCCCCAACGTGATAGGATAACCTTTGAGTGACATCGTATAACCGATTCTAAACGAAATAAGA